TGATTATGTTGTACTTATATTTCAAATATATTATTAGCTTATTATCTAGATAACTACATGTCATTAATCATGACCCATATCATTGAACTTATAGAATATAGGTAGTGAAACTAATGGTCAGTTGAGAAATACTAGAAAAAAGCAAAGTAACCTTAAGAGTAAAACGTTTGCACAGTAACACCAAATTAGTGGAAATGGAGATACAGTGACCAAATGTTGTGATTAAAGAATTATTATGGTCTTAATAGTAAACACCTAAAGATATTATGATGAAACTTATCAAAACATACTAAGCATATGGATAAGGGATGAGAACATCGAATGAAAGTTAGTGCCAATTATATAAAGACAAACGATTATTCTAGAAGCATTAAATTGCTAGTAGAAGTCAACAAAGATTAGATAATGAAAAAGAAAGAAATACTCATAAAGACAGAAGTTTAACGATCAACACCATGTAAAATTGCAAAGTAGAATGACACTGTGTAAAGGATTGAGAACTCCCGCATTGTCTATAGTGGTATGACTCAATCATTAAAACACATTAATAGTAAGGAAGTAAATATAATCGAGTACAAGGTGACTATTGAACTACAAAGGATGATTGGAGCATGTATTGAGTTTTGAAAAGTCAAATCCACTATGAAAAATGAAGTTTGGAGAACTTCGAGTGTTCTAATGAAAAATACTAACAATTATGAGATTAGTAAAAGAAAAATGTGAGAATAGAAAATTTCAAGAAAGTATTTAAGGTAAGAAGTTGAAAATTAGGGTTCAACTTTTGGTTATAGAATAATAAGCTCATTCTTATTTTTATTTTAGTGATTCCACTGAAGGAATCTTGTTAACGAATATGTATTTGCAACAACCTAAAATGCATATAAATGTATGAGTTTGAAAAAAAAAATGTCAAAGATAAAGTTGGGTTTGTGTTAATAGTAAAAGATAAACTAAAGAGGCTGTGGGCTTTAAACCAAAAGAATGTTATTGGACTTTAGTGGCATTTAGTCCATAAGTTGTTTTACCCAAGGAGATATTTTAAGCCTAAATACTTATTAAATGAAATTCAAATTAAAATTAAAGGTATTTTAGTGGATAAGATATTGGAAGGAAAAAAATTATAAAATTATAGGTACTTACATGTAGGGGTGGCAACTCTTGATTCAACCCGTAACCCGATACGAACCCGACACAAAAATAAGCGGGTTAGGGTTGAGATTTCTGACCCGCCAACCCGTCAACCCATCAACTCGCCAACCCGTTTATTTAATGGGTTGGGTTGGGTTACCTGTTTGGGTTCGCGGGTCAACCCGCCAACCTGCCTAATATATTTAATTATCTATTTATTTTATTTTTTAACAATCTAACATCATATTATACTATTAGTTTCTATTTATCATATCCTTAAATTTTAATTTGGTATTTGTTCGTAATTTCGTATATCATCAGCCATATGTTTGGGCAATGTGGCATTGTGTTGTGGGCTACTGTTGGGCTTGTGTCTCATGATCCCATCATCCATCTTTGACCTTGACTCCTTGAGTGTTGACTGTTGAGTCCTTGTGCAGCCAGCCATTAGGTATTTGCGTGCCTTAATAAAAAAAATCGTTCCTCACCCGCTCCAGTCTCCACATTCACAAACGATCGAACGAAGGATAAAGATTAAGGAGTTAAGGACCGATCTTCGATGGAAGCAACATCACGAACTCACGATTTAATCACTCATCGGGCCAATCGTCACCCGCTCCTCATTCGCTCATCGCTGTTCGTACTCACTCTTGTCAGCTTTGACGTTTTCGACCCACCTTCCTTTCTCTTTACGGTAAGTAACAATCTACACTCTACAGTATGTTTGAACAATTGCACTTTTCATGAATGTTTTGATTTTTAGAGTTTTATTTGGATGTTTATGACTTTATGTTTAATGTTTATTTTGGATGTTTATGAATTTATGTTTAATGTTTATGACTTTTAGACTTCATTTTATTTGGATTTTTCAATTTCATCTTAAAATGTATTGCTTATTAAATGGGTTATACGTGTTGGGTTCGACCCACTGACATGTGAACCCGCCAACCCATATATTTATACGGGTTATATGGGTTGGGTTGGGTTGATGTTTCCAACCCATCAACCCGTGACCCGCCAACCCATATATTATATGGGTTGGGTTGAGTTTCTGAATTTCAACCCGCCAACCCGTGACCTGCCAATTCGAACCCAACCCAATTGTCAGGCCTACTTACATGGACATTTTCATATTTATAGTATTTACAGATGGAACTAAATAAAAAAGAAAATGGAAATAAATATGTACAAAAACTAAATAAAAAAGAAAATGGAAATAAATATGTACAAAAAAATATAAATTATTATGATACTAGAGGGACTAAATTGTAAAATACAAAACAACTTGACTAGATAAAAGGAACCGTAAAAGAAAAAAAAAAGGAGAACAATAATCAACGTGCTCATGCGATATGAATTTGTAGCCCCTAGTTTCTCTATCATTTTAAAGGTTTTCATTGGGACCAAATTTGGAAAAGTCACAAATTGTTTTCACACACACATATATATATATATATATATATATATATATATATATATATATATATATAATATATATATATATATATTTACTATATTATTAAACATATTACCCATTTCTTGAAAATTAAGAGGTATACCCATTACAACATAACGTACAATCTTATCAAGCTTCCATTCTAACAATATACCTCATTGTATCTTTACGCTGTCTTTAGATCTTGAAAACACTAAACCCTAACTTCCTCTAGCCGTCAAAACACACACCTCTTTTGTCCCATTCCTTGTTCTTTCAAGTTTCCGGTAGCCCTCCAGTGCCACCACCCTCCTCACGCTTCCGCTACAACCTGGAATAGGTCACCGACCATTCCTTCCTCTGTTAACCTTCTCTACCTCTGTTTCTCTTCAAAAACTACAACCGCACATGTGTCTTTGCTCAAGAAAAAGGTAACAAATATCCTACTTTTCAAACCCTAATCTAGCCACCGCCATCGCACCATTCGTTAGTCACCAACTTCTTATCTCTCTCAGTCTCTCGACCTTTCTTCCTCAATTTCTTTAGTCTAAATCACCATTGCCACCTGACCAATAGAAAATACAATGTACAGATGTTACACTTGTTTCTCTGCTCAAGGAAATGGTAATGCCACCTACCATCGCACTAATCATCAGTTGACAACATATTCTCTCTCTCTCTCTCTCTCTCTCTCTCTCTCTCACAGACGAATGGACTCCGACGACCACCACTAGCATCTTCTGGTGCTTAAATTTATCCCCATTAATGAGAAATGTAAATGAGGTTAATTATTCTCCGTTCTCTATCTACTCAAAGTCGATGTAATTCACATTTCCCATCAATTTTAGGTTCATATTCAATCATATTGGTGGCTTTTTTCCCCACTGCTGTATATTTCAAGGATACCAAAGCTTTCAATCCCGATAGGGATTTTGGTAAAATGCTTTCATCTTTTCAAAATTGGGTTTTAATCAACAAGAATCGATCTAGAACTAAGATAATTGGTGTGCTTGTTTTTATTTAATACGGTTTTTTAGTACACTTGCTCTAAATTTCTTCCTGTTGTTGTCAATTTTTGTTACTGCCTCCAAAGACAGGTCATTTCCACAAAGGGGAATGGTTTTGGTGCTTATATTTCTTCTTGATGCAGCATGTCCAACAAAACAAAGTGATCAAACAAGTCCTAGTGAATGCCTAGCTGAGGCTTTACGACCAACTGTTCACTCTTTCTGCAAAGTCTTAACAACTTCAGATATATTGGTAAATTTTCTTATTCTTATGTTCTATAACCTCTAACCCTCTACCCTTTCATTACTCACTTTTTCATGCTCCAATTCGCCAAATTCTTATATTTTCAGGACATGACACAAAAAAACTCCTACTCAGGGGGTAACAGGAAAAGATCTTCATGGAACTGAGTGGCAATTTAATATACAAGGTTCTTATACTTAACTTTGTTTTTTTATTTTGTTTTCTAATATTCTTTTACTCTTTTGTGAATATCAATACTGATGAATATAAGTTTGTCCAACTGGGTAGGCCCTGTTGGATTGGACCTTAGGCATGGGGCAATACCAGCTACTGAAACAATTGACAAAGTGACAATAAAAGCAATAACCGATCCCTACCGATCCCTCCCTCTCCCTTTATCTCCTAGAAAACCAAAAATATCAGCATAAAAAATATTTCATTTGGATTCTGTTTCACTTGCTCAATATGTGTTTATTTGTTTAAAGTCCTCAATCACCCCAAAGTGAAGCTGTTTAACCTTATTATTTGGGTTCCAATCGAAAATGGAATTTTAGATTTTCTTTAGTTTTAAATTTGTGATTTGCCTTTTAATTTGGTCGTTGTGTCTTTTGGTAGGAGGGCCAGTTCAGCAGACAGTAGCCAAACATAAGTATGCATCGAAAAACCCAGTCCTTCCATGATAAGAAGACGTGGTGACCATGTTGTAAAAGGATATTGAAAGCCTGTCTTAAGGTAATATGGTGATGATAGCAACAATTACTTGGTCTTAAAGTAACTCATGAGGTTGTAGGATTCCATTTTCATTTGGATGAGATGATTTTGACTTGTAAATGGACAAAACAATTTATGTTTCTCATTATTAAGCTCTAATGGAAGTGTACATTTAAGTTCTTTTTTTTTGTCTATTGTGAATTTTAAGGTCTGATGCTTAATGTCGATGTCAAAAAATGTATTATTTTTGGTGTAGCAAGTTAGGTCTGATGTAGTTTTAAATTTTTTTTTAGGGCTAATGTTTTTTTTTTTTTTTTTTTTGTTGTTGTTTAATGACTTAGTTGAGGTCTGATGTTGTAGATCTGATTTTTTTGTTGAAAAATGTCTGATGTGTGAAGCGATTAGTTGCAGAGCCTATGTATGCTTGGGATGGTGAAACACATCATAGTGTTGGAAAAACTATTGAGATAGAAAGTGATGGTCTCCTGGTAATTGAAATTCCAAACCATGGCAAGCTGATCCTTTTGACATGGAAAAACTAGAGGACTTTAAGGTAAATCAACAAACACATCTTTCAAAGTTTTTTAAGGGAATTTTATGTTCTTTAACAAATATGACTTATGAGCAAATTATCTGATATGGAATGGAAGGTTAGAGATTGGTTGAGAGTTAAGGCTTATGTGTCCTCAATACAGGTGGGAGGACATAACCAGGAATAATATTAGGTTCATCCACAGTTTAGAGGAAGATGGTGACATGGGAATTACCTTCTGCTTAAGAAGGCTCTAATATTCTAACTTTTTTTTTTAGGATATTTCAGAAACTTATCAGCGATGAGGCTCTTTGGTGGAAATGCAAAAGTAAATTGCTATTTATTGAAGCAGTGAATCTATGAATTTGAGTATAGTAGGATGTTTTGGTAATTATAACATACTACTTTGAATATGTTAATATGAGTATATTCGATTGGTTTAATAATTCCTAAAATACTGAAGTAGGTTGTTATTGTTTAACCCTCAATACATTACTTTTTCTTGCATTTGACCTCATCGGAGAAATGAAAGTATTTTGATTTTATCTTGCACACACAAATCCTATGGTAGCCTTGGGCTATAAAGTAATAGAGTAGAAGCATCTACTAAAATTTACTAAATCATTTATTAAGAATTGGGTACATATGATTTATTAGTTTTTTTAATTTTATTTCATGGATTAATGTTTATTTCTTTCTTTAGGTATGTGTTGATCAGAATGATGTTGATCTTGACAGTGAACCATGCTTATTGGTGAAAGATACAAGTTATACATGTTTGAAACATAGTTGGAAGCCTCTCCTAATTGGAGACCATATTTGGACGATTTTTGCTCCTAATGTTGTTTTGTCCCTGATGTTAAAGTTGGTTAATTTCATTCTTCTGTTGCTTTGCCTCACTCAATTGGAGATCATTTGGGACCTTTCTTCCGATGGGGTGGTTGCATGATAAATATATGTCCTTTGAAATGGTGTTGTGTTCACTGTTCTAGAATATCATAATTCTTAAATGTTTTTTTTAATATTTCTGTACTTGGTCAATCCTCTTTCCTGTTAAAAAAACTTATTTATGGTGAGGTTGTTGCCAATTTGCATAGAAAGTTTTCTAAATATTCATTGCACAATAGAAATAATTGACTCTTGAAACTATTCACTTAAACGAAATTTTTTACCATCCACCGCTTGTATGCCGAAAGGAATCAAATTGCTAAAAGGAAACTATTCTCTCAGGCCACTTATATAACAACGTATTCCTGTCAAAATGAAACAATTCATCGAAAACAAGATTACTCACCCCCTCCTTCCTCCATTATTCACACCCGTAGCTTAGCGCGGGTAAACGGCTAGTATATATATATATATATATATATATATATATATATATATATATACACACACACACACACACACACACATATATATATATAAAGAGAGAGAGAGAGAGAGAGAAAGAAATTAAATATCCTCCTACCATTTGTTCCTATTTTTCCTCCTACCATATCAAATGTTGACATGTGTCACATTTAATGAAATTAATAATCATTTAATCCACTTGTCAACATTTGATATGGTAGGAGGAAAAGTAGCAACAAATGGTAGGAGAATATTTAATTTCTCATATATATATATATATATATATATATATATATATATATATATATATATATATAGAGAGAGAGAGAGAGAGAGAGAGAGGTGGGTTCAATTGAGAAAATAAAAAAGTTGAGAATGGGGGAATCATTCTTAGCCACTCATTTAATCTAAGCATAAAAAGACACAGTGGCAAACTTGTAAATATGTTAATAACCTTTAATCTCAAATGCATATCGATAACAGTTCGTTCATCATCAAAAATTTTCCTCCAACCTTCAATAATCATCCAGATTTCTTCAACTAAACCGGAATTTCTTCGCTGTTCATGAAATTGAAATCGGAGTTCTGGACTCACAGTCACAGTCGACATTGAAGCACTCAGAATCGGTACTCACAGGTTCCCAATTGGATTTTTGGAAATCAAAATCAAAATGAGAAATTGATCAGACATAGGATGTCGCATCTGAAGTCGAAATCGGAAGTATATGATGATTTGGAATTGATAACTTGATGTTTTTAACATTTTTAACATAGTTAACTTGTATGCACTCCAACTGTTTCATGAAATGCATAAACTAAATTACTACGTTATATTCACATATAAATATGTTTTCTCACCTGAATCAGTATATGATTATTAAAAACACAAAACAAATATGCAAGTCTGTATGTTATTCATATGTGAATAATATATAAAAATTATATATAGATATATTTGTCAAAATACCTTCAAATATTCATAAGTGAATATATTCACAAGTGAATATACCTTGTAATATTCATATGTGAATATACTATGTAATATTCATAAGTGAATATATCATCTAATATTCACAAGTGAATATAGTATGTAATATTCACATTTGATATACCATGTAATACTATGTAATATTCACATATGAAATATTATTTAATACTCATAAGTAAATATATCATCTAATATTCACAAGTGAATATACTATGTTAATATTCACAAGTGAATGCATCGTTCAATATTAAAATATGAATATACTATGTTTATTATATACTATATTCATATATGAATGATACTTAAATTATAAAAAAAAATCATACTTTTTATTCATAAATGAATAACGAATGTACTGTAATAAAACCTGATGTATATTTATTCATTTATGAATAACAATAGCTGAAAATATAATTTTTTTTTTTTTTTTTTTTTTATAAACTATATCAATATAGATGTCTATTTGTAGAGAATAAAAAATCATGAATTTTGATATATTTAAAATCATTTTTTGATAAAAATAACTTCTAAAAATTAAAAAAAAATGAAAAAAACTATGTTTTTGTATATATTAAGGTAATGATTAGTATAGTTTAAAGAAATATGTTTTGTTGGAAAACACATGTGCATTTCTTTCCCATTTCTATCGGTACGTTGGTCGCTTTTACGGCAAAAATAAATGATTGGCTGAGAATGATTCCCCCATTCTCAACCTTTTTTTTTTCTCAGTTGAACCCTCCCTATATATATATATATATATATATATATATATATATATATATATATATATATATATATATATATATATATATATATATATATATATAATATTATATATATATATATATATATATATATATAATCGTTAAAAGGTAGGGTGTGACAATAATGCCCAATAATGCCCATGTATATTTTCGTTTTATTTGTTATATCTATATTGGATAATTTTCTAGTTTTTGTGCTTAATTCCAGACTGTTGAAGATTTAAGTGTTGTTTGTTTTTCTATAAAAACATCTTCAAACCATTTATTGCTGCGCGGTGCAGCACACGCACAATACTTTTCCTCTCGCAACAGTTTGTTTTTTGGAAGATTTCAGACTACAAAACCTCTGCGCGTGTACTGCGTAGCGCAACACTTGACTTGCCTCTTCTAACCTCTTCAACTTTCATTTTTTCTAAATGTTTTTTTAAGAATTTTGTATAGCTTTTTTTTTTTTTTTTAAACTTTGATTTTCTTAAATTTTTATTTACGGATGTGATACAATTTATTTTTATAATTTCCACGATTGTTTTTTTAACTTGATTTTTTTTTAATTTATTTTACCGTTTTATTAATACTATTTTCAATTTCAGTTACATATTTTTTAACGTGTGTAATTTTTTACGAGCTTTATAGACAACGTTTGCAATACTTTCTTAATTTTTTTTATTATTTTCTTTTTTAATGTTTTTTAAAATTAGTTTTTTTTTTCTAGAATAAAACTATTAGCTTTGTTTACATTTATTTAAGTTTTTTTTTTTTATTTTTTTTATTTTTAATTTTTAATTTTTTATTTTTAAGTTTTTTATTTTTGTTTTTTACATGTTCTTGTTATTATTATTTCAATGTTTTAAGACTAGAATTATTAAATTTCAGTATTGAGAACTATTTTCAATTTATAAAATCAGTTTATTTAAATTTTAGTTTACTGCAGCAGTCTGCATATGTTAAAAAACAAGCATGCTTCTTATTATAGACTGCAACCATTTGTTCTACCTCTTCTGCTACAGAGGATTGCAGAAGTGGTCTGCAGACTTCATGAATTTTCGATTCGAAAAAACAAACAACACCTTCATGTAGTGTAGATTTGTTCAAGGCTAATTTGGAGTTATTGCGGATCAATTATGGGTTTGGTAAATTTTAACAAAGTTGGTGGAAAAAAGAACGATGCTTTGGGCTGTGTATTGGACTAAAATGTGGGCTTGTGGAGCAAAATAAAGGATTACGGATGGTAGGATTGTATGGCTAAGTAGTTAAAGTATGAAGAGACAAAAAGCTTAAAAATATCCCCAAGATAGTAATACATTGCTGCATCTCAAGCGTTCATAGTGACATCACAAGAATGATGATGATGAGCTTATCAATCGGCAATATTGTTGTCTCACCCTCCTCCTTCACCGTAATAAGAACAATTTCCCTTTCATTGGATCCATGTTCTCGCTCTTCGATGATGAGTGGGTTGTATTATCAGACCCATTAAGGAAAAAAAAATATACGAAAAGAGAATTGTTCAAGTTTATTAAGATAGATTTAGAAGTCATGAGAAATCAGAGGGAGAAAGCGACTAAAAATCCATAGGAGAAGATGTAATAGAGTCACCAAGGAGACAGTGTCATTGAAAAAGGTATGGAATTATTGTCCATGATGTTATAATCTATATGTGTTTGATATGGGTTTCAAAGGATGTTGTTTAAGATGTGAAATTATAAACAAGTTTCAAGTGTTTAAGATACCGTTGAACTATGCCACCTACAGTGCATGGAAAACAAGTGTGCTACTTCTCTTGGGCGTATTGGATGACAAAGATGTTTCAAACACATGTGACTTCTTTGTCATCAACAAGTTTATTAAGAAAATACCACCAAAACATGAAAAAAAATATCTTCTACAATCACCAAAACTACCGTTCCTAGAATGAGAGGTAGTTAGTAAGGATCCCTCTTTTGTAAAACCACTTAGTTGTTGACAAGGAAGCCACATCAACTTCTTTACGTGGCTTATGAAACCAAGAGCATGTCAACATCTACTTTATATGCCCATATAAATCCATAAAATAACTTCAGGGACCTTTTAAAGCAAAATCAAAAAGTTTCATGGGCTACAATATCATTAGCCCTATATTCAAATTTTATTTGCAAAGTTCACAACATTTTCTCCATAGTTCTTTTGTCTTTAACCTCTTCAAAGCTTAATCTGATTTAGTTTACTAGGAGAACAAATCGATTGTAGTAATCTTATACCAATTATGATTCTTTCATCTTTAATTATCAAAGTCACCTAAGAGAGTTTGTAAGTGTCCTACACTTAACTTTTCGTATCTTATATAGGTTTTATTAAGGGTGTCTCATGCCTCCTTGGACATGTTTATTATTATTATTATTATTATTATTATTTTTTTATTTTTATTTTTATTTTATTTTATTTTATTTATTTATTTATTTTTTTATTGTGAATTCTTTCAAATATCATATCATCGACTTCTTGATCAATAAAAACTAATCTTTTACCTATCTCTTTTCTTTTTCGTTGCAATTTGTTTGATTTCCCCATTTGAAACTTCATCTTCATATTTTCGTTCTTTAATATCTCTTCCTTAAATGCCCAACGATCTTGTGATTGAAATAGTACTCGAATATAATGTAGTGGTAATAGTTTAATCCTATTAATTATAAAAGAAGAAGTACTTGGGTATTTATTCCGGTGTGCGTCATTTATCGACTCTAATACCATTTGGTGGAGATAAGCATAAAGTTTTGAATTTTGAATAAGATATACACCTAACTACATATTTATATTGATATATCTGATAAGTATATGTGACATTTTCATTTTCACGGCTAGAAAAGATCAATTTTGTTTATGCTTTATAAAAGTCAGTACCT